CAAAATCAAGGATTTTCTCATAGGTGATCTATAGTATAATGGGAGGGGACAAAGAGTTCAGCGCTGAGAGGGAGGGCAAAAGCAGTGGGACGGAGGGTGGCATGCGCATGGTCCCTGCAGCATGGGTAGGTCCCAAAGATGCTAAGGGCTGAGATTGGGATCAGAAAGGGGGCAATGCTGGAAATGGCAAGACTACAAGATGCTTTAACTCACTGACTAGAATAAACCAGAGAAAGAATAGGTTCATTAAGGATCTGCTAATATGTAAACATCAGGAGGGCAGGGATTCCATTTTGTTTCTCTTTATATCCCAAGTATCCAAGGAGTTGGGACTCAAAATGTAATATATATATATATATATATATATTGATCTGACCTACAAAAACTGAAAGAGCATCTGGGCCAATCAATTGTTTTTCTAATTGTACATGGCCTCTCAAATTCAACTTCTTCCCTGACACTCATCAGAAATGTTTACTGAATATTCACTAGTTTAGGTACCAGAATGGCTGATTTTATTAGAATATTCAAAATTCTTATTCAGCTATAAGAAGACAACAAATTCTACTATTTGCAACAATGTGGATGGAGCTGGAGGGTATTATACTCAGTGAAATAAGCCAGGTGGAGAAAGACATGTATCAGATGATTTCCCTCATTTGTGGAGTATAACAACAAAGCAAAACTGAAGGAACAAAACAGCAGCAGAATCACGGACTCCAAGAGACTAGTGGTAACCAAAGGGAAAGGGGTGGGAGAGGGAGGGAGAAGGGGATTGAGGGGCATTACGATTAGCACACATAATGTAGCGGGGGTGTGGTGGCACGGGAAAGGCAGTACAGCACAGAAAAATCAAGCAGTGACTCTACAGCATCTTGCTACGCTGATGGACAGTGACTGCAATGGGGTGTGTGTGTGGAGACTTGATAATATGGGTGAATGTAGTAAACACAATGTTGCTCATGTGAAACCTTCATAAGATTGTATATTAATGATACCTTAATTAAAAGGAAAAAAGAACTCTTAACTTAGACTAAGGAAAGGACTGAGCCTCTCAAGTTGCATGCATTCTGGTTTACAGATCACTAACTTGACTACTGGGTATTGAACACTAGCAAGGTAGAACTGCTTTGTTTGAGGTTAACAGTATCCTTGACAGATCTCCTTACTTCTTAATACAAAGTCTGTACTTCCATATGCTCATTTTCAGTTGGAAATTATTTCAAAAGTATCAAAATTCCATTCCATTTCTTTGCCTGATGGGATTTGGTTTATGGCACCAAGAGCAAAAAGCAAACTTACAAAGACTAACCAACCAATTAAATGACAGTGCTTTCCCAGTGGTAGGCAGGGCTAGCAGCAAGCTCCTGCTTGGGGCATCTTACTTACTTCAGCAGAGTTCTCCTGCTGCAGTTATGGTCCCTGGACTAGCTGGACTGGCATCACCCACTCCAGACCCACTGCATCACAAGCTGTATTTTAACAAGTTCCCCCTCCCCACTGATTAGCACACTTAAGTCTGAGAAGCACTGTGTGAGACTCTCAGGACCAGTTGGTGTGTTTCACCAAAGCACTAAAAAACTTATGAAGACTATCTTGGTCTAAAAAACTTATGAAGACTATCTTGATGTGGTAGAGCAATCTAAAATTATCCCTGTAAATTTTACTGACACACTTGCATTGATATACTCTTCTAAAAGGAGAAAAGTTGTTACAGTTAATGTAGCTAAGCTGGCCATATCCGGCAGGCCACCAAATGCCTGTGATGGTAGCGTCCAGCAAAAGCTGTCACGGTCTGCCTCTGCCTGCTGCAGGGCTTTGGCACCTCTTCAGTCTGATGGATGCCCTTTTACCCCTTCAGATGCCAGCTCAAATGAGCTTTCCCTGGCCAAAGGCTAGCCGGGCTTCCTATTGAAAGCTCTCATTAACCTCTACACCTTCATGTAGCTATCATAATTTATCATTATTCAAACTAAGCACATAAATATCTAAAACTCCATAAAGACAAGAATCATGACTTTGTATCAGGATATCTCATGCCAGGCTTATATTAGCCCAAATCTCAATGTTTCTCTTGCTCATGATTTGAGGTGGAGGGCCTCCTCTCCAGTGACTTAGGGATTCAGGATCCCACCACCTTGTAAATGCTGATTCAGCGTGTGGCTTTCACCTCCATGCAGGAGGAGGGATGGTCACATGGCACTAACTTAACTGTGAAGACGTCGGAAATGTAGGGGATCAGGTGGACTATGGCGACAAACACCGTTCCAGCCTCATCTGTGCTCACAGCATCTCCAGTGCAAGGACAGTGTCCAGCAGGGATTCAAAACAGTAAAACAAATGGTTACCCTTTAATTAAAAATGTTATCCATTACTAGTTTAACACAGAAGGCAAGAGCAGGGGAAGAAAGTGAGTTTGTGCACCTGCATGCATGTAAGTAGAAACAAAAGCTGCCCCTTCTAAGAGGGCAAATATATCACCATAGATGGGTTTTCCTTTAAACCAACCTTTTGTCTCAGTAGTTTTACATTGTAGATTATGTCCACTACTGGCAATGACAGGAGTGGGGTCAAGGCTTCTGGAGTCAATTTCTAGTATTTATTGAGGAGAATAAACTTTTGGTAAAAAAGAAACAACGTATTACCCTCAGAGATGAACCTAAAAATACTTTCATTTTGGGCACTGTGTGGTATGTTTCTTTATGCACTGATGAGGGAGCTGGAATAAAGACCTGGTTAGTTCTGGGTAAAATCTTAGATATTTTCTGATATCAGCAATGGATCTCGTCCTGTCATTCAATACAAAGAAATACGCATTTCTTGTTAAAATGACTCACTGCAGAGCACTTCTCTTACCTAAAATGCAAGGCTGTTCAAATGTTTGTGAAGTGAGTCCTAGATGCTATGAAAAGTAATAAAACACGGTGTTGGTAGGAGATAATGAGCCTGTGGTAATCACTCCAGATATAAGAATCACAAAGGTTCCCTGTCTAAATTTTTTAAAAATTCATTTCCTATTTAGAGGTAAGTCACTTTGCTGCTCAAGCCCATGAAACTCTCAGGAACTGCTTCTAGTGTCTGAGATTTAAAAATGTATCTTTTAGCTAGCTTATTTACCTCAACTTAACTAAAAAGTGCTTCTGACATATTTAAAACTATAGCAAAGCCTCATCCTTCTATACAAAAGTACATGTCCATTAGTAGTATTTATTATCAAAGCATAGGCAAAGAAGTTGTTTGAAATAATGCTTTTCTTAATAACAACTGTATACCATGTGTTCATGACTCTGTAATTTACTTTTTACTTGATTACCCTGAATAGAGGTACCTAAAATAAACTGGAAAAATAACTGAATGTTTTATAAATACTAAGTCTTTTATTTAGTTTTTCTTAGGAAATGACAGTTAAGTTCTTTAAACAGGTATTTCAACCCAGGATAGGCTGTTATGCTGTTAAGAAAAGGATCCAAAATCTTAGTGGCTTTTTACCCCAAAGGTTTATTTCATGCTCATGTTCTATGTCCCTCAGAGGTCAACTGAATGTCCCACTCCACCTCTCTCCCACACCGTAACCCAGGCTGGTGGAAGGGTCACCTTCTCAGAAATGATCTGTTGCTTTGGAAAAGGGGAGAATGAGGTCAATCATGGACTGGCTCTTAAAAAAACTTTCATCTGGAAAGGATACCACTTCTGCTCCCATTTCATCAGCCTAAGAAGGTCAGATGGGCACCCAGAAAGCAGACTCTTAGAAATTTGGTGAATGGCACTAGTAACAATGACTACAAGTACCTTTATCAGTATCACACCTCCTCCCTCCCCCAAATCTTTGGCAGTATTTGCTTCACTGTTTCCAGCAACATTTTAAAAATATAATCTGTGTTATGTCCACAGGAGTTAGTCACAGATGTGAACATCACTTACTTTGTGTGGTGGCAGAAGAGGTTGAGATTGTAGTTTTATGTGAATGAGAGGGAGAAGTTTCACCCATCACTGTTGGTCCCCCAACTGTTTTTGCAATTGGCAACCACCCTCAAGACAGTGACCAGGCAGCAACTCACACTATTAACTGGCCAACAGATAAGCTTCCAATGCTCTTTCCAGGACACAAAGGGGGCTGGTCCTAACATCAGCCTCCCTCCCTCCCTCAGCAATGTTATCCCCTCCTGGGCTGTCCCTACTCCGTTCTCCCCACAGCAGACTCAGATAACGCCAACAGCGCAGCTTTCGATGAGCCTTTTCCTACTTTAAAGACATCAAAAAACAGAGGCTTTTAATCTCTCTCCCCCACTCACAGCCTCAACACGTCTGCCTTGCCTGAGGCCCTCCAGCATCACTCTGGAGGTACACGCAGTCCCCAGCGGGGCCTGATGAGTAGCAGCTGAAGGTGGACTTTTCAACACTTGTGGAAGGGAGCAGCTGGGCCACGAGCGGACAGAAACAGACCACTCAGCGGATCCACCCATTACCATGACTACCATAAGTCATCACTCCTAGATGTGGGAACATTTTCAATGGCAAAAATTCGTAACAGAGATACTAAAACTAAGGAGCAATGTTTTTACAAATAAGCACTGCAAAAAGTCACCAAAGGTCTTCCACAGGAGTGGCAAAATGGTTATTTTATTAATACAAAAATCTATATAATTAGGATACAAAATACCCTCTCAAAGTGTTGTGACCTACCTGCTATTTGCAGGTACAAAGCAGATTCAGCTACAAGCACATGGCGGCAGAAAACTGGTCGACAAAGGCAGCCTAGGTAGTTTTGCAAATTCTCACACACAGAAGAGCTTGCGGATCCCAGCTGGTATGGGGTCCTCTTAGCTCTCAAACCCTCCTAGGCGAGATGTCTGGATATAGTTCCCTCAGCGAAACTGTATCAACAGAAATGAAACTACAGCCACAGAAACTAACTGATGAACTGATCAGACGGTCAATGAAACGAACAATTATTATGCTTTGACATCTCAGAACAACACAACACAAAACAGAAAGCCAACTTAAGGTTTTTTTTATTGTTTATTTGGGAAAAGTGCTTCTTACAAAAGGGCAGCTGCAAAATACAGAGACCTCTGCAATGATTACTTTTTTCTTAAAGTGAAAGAATGGGTGGGATCCAAGGAATCAATGCAGGAGATGGACGAACCAGGAGTATCTCCAAGGTATTTGTAGGAAATAGAGCAACAAAATGCGAAGCTAAAATTTCCAATCAAGAAACTCTTCTAACAACTTAACTTCAGCGTGTCTTGTGGATGTCCACCTCCTCCCCCTTTAGTGGAAAAGCGTGACTTGTTACTGCAAACAGTTACTCCACTTCAAGAAACACCTTAGGACACAGTTTTGAATCAAGTCTGTCTACCTGCAAAGCTCAGGGATGAACAAGGCAAATACCCATAAAAACTTGACAACAAAACTCCAAATGAGGACAAAACTTTGTCAAAAAGTGCCGGACCGGAAAGGCTGGGAGATCATAAAGCAGTAAGTACAACTGTGTAGTCGAGCCCCAGCCTGTGGTGACATAATGGGATAGCCGATAGCTACGGCTAAGTCCACTTCTCTATGTAGACAGAGTTAGCACTGCTCTACTAACAGTTACCAATATACTGCTTTGCCCTTTAAGATCTATTTGCCACACTAGGTTGAAACCACTAAACCGAGTTTTCCACTAAGGCTAAGAGCACTGCGTCTATGCAGGGATGAGAAGCTTATCACACATGCACACACACACTCACACCATCTATCAGCCCTTGGGAGTCAACTGCCAACTCTGCACTTATTTTATGCCACTGTTTTCTTCCATATGTGTTCTTTTGTAATCTTCCTATCATGCTAAACACAGTAAAAATCTCAACACATTCACACCTGGTTCTGGTACCCAGTAGTATTATGTGTGTGCAATTAAACAAGAGACCAAAACCACTGAACGAGTGCACAGGGTGGGGAGCACAGGGAGGGGAAAGATGTAAAAACACAGATGTGCGGGTTCCACCAGAAACCTCAAGTCTCCACCTCTTAAGTCTGGAGCAGGCTACTTGCCATAGCTCAGATTCTTCACCATCACCCCCACTCTTGGACCCCAAAGCAGGGCCAATGCTGTTACTTTTGAATCTGGAGTCCTCAAAACGGGTGTGGGAAGTCCATAAACATCACCCTGGGACTGTGTGAGTCTGGTCGAAAACAGGCGACGCAACAAACCTACACTAACTGTCTGACAGTTAAATTCAGGTTACAAAAAAACTAACTTTAAGATTTATTTTTGTAACTTTTTTAAACAGGGAGAACACCACACTCCTGGGGTAAAGGCAAGGGGTTGAGAAGACAGGCCCTGGGAACATATTATTACGACAGCACCTGGAGTTGGTAGGCCTGCCTAGGAGAGAGACACGGGCGCTGCCACACCACCACAGGGGACGGCCACTGTCTGGGGCTCAGCAGACCAGTTCACACGCCACGCAAAGTTGCTATAGATCCAAGTCATAAAAATCTTCCAGCTCATCATGAAACAAGTCCCACTCGTCTTCAGAGTCTGTCAGGTCGTCGTCCCCACCTGCGGCCAAAAGCATAAGCAACATCTCGCCCAGCTCAAAGGTGACCACCTCTTCTTCATCGTTCTCAAAGGGGTTGCTGTTCTCTCTTTCCTCAATGAGCTCCCAGAAGTGGTTCCTTCGTTGGGCCTGTAAAAAACAAGGCCGTGATAGGGAGGGCACTGTCGAGTGGCATCTTCTATTCTGTGGTTTCTAAGGCAAAACGTCCAGCACACAGAGGGCATGACGAACCAGACTTCTCATTTAGGGTTTCGACTTTACCAACTCCTCCCCTCTGGTTACTTGATGCAAACTGTTTAGGCTAGAGCTTTAAGCATTCTATTGTTTCCTTTCACAGCCCTCCCCGTTTTCTGAGGTTGGTTTCCTCCTCTAATACTATAGTCTCGCTCCCAGACCTGAGTGTTAATCTTCTCCTTCCCCTACCCCAACCTGTGCAGGGCTCAACTGATAGCGTGGAACTTCCCCTCCTTTAAAAAAACAGTGAGAGTTACCCGGTATCTGCTTGATGTTCCCACTTTCTGTCTCTGTGGCTCCTCTCTACGGCCATCAGGGTACGCATGCTTGTAAAAACAGTTCCCTCCAAATGGGCAGCTCCCACGTCCTTCATCAAAATACCTGCACGCCTTGTTGCTGGAAAGGAAAATATCGCAACCCTTATTCACAGTGGATTTCAGGTCTGTACTGTATTTGACTATCATCCAGGGTTTCTTTAGACAGGTAGGGGTAGAACCAGTATGCCTGTCTACAGCCCTCCCCAAGGTGTGTTCTCAAACGTGTGTGCTAATGCAAGAAACACTAACAGAAACAGACACTCTGTTTAAGTCCATGCTGTTGAACAGCTCTAGTACCGCAGATCCAGCAGAGAGAAAATCTTCTAGAAAGCCCCCACACAAGAATATAGGACAACTATGACACAGACTCAGAGTAAGGTAGAGCCCCACGCATGGGGCTCTGGCTACCAGCAGCAGACTTCATTACAACACAGTCCCTTGGCATGCACCCCAAGGACTGTGTTATAGCAAGATTTTTAATGGAGGTGTTATTGGGATGACAAAATAAACTGTACTGGGAAGTCAAAGAAAGGGTAGGAAGGAGGTAGGAGTATATAATGCAGCACTGTTCTTTTCAGAGGGAGCCCCAAGCTGCCCTGGGATCTTAGCTTGAGAAAGGCTGCAGTGCCCATACCTCATTGCCTCCTTGTATTTCTGAATGAGTTTCTGCTTCTCTTCTTTCTCCTCCACCCAGTACTCACTTGGAATGACAAAGTTAGATGTGATCCGGCATTCTGGGCAGGACCTGGGAAACAATGAACAGGCTGCAATGCAAATTCCCCTTTACAGGCCCAGCTTCTTCAAGGCCACACCCTGGTGTGTCTCCTCCAGATTTAAAGACTTAACTGAAAGGCACATGGGCATTTCCTAATGGGGTTCCACACACTGCCAAACAACTGCCCACTTCTTCTGAGGCAAGAGAAGTCCTTCATAAGGTCAACTCAAAGGCTAGCCAGTTTGTTAAAAAAATCTTAGGTAAAAAAAAAAAAAACCCAAAAAACAACAAAAGAAGACATTTCACACAGACTCCTTTTTCTTTCGTTTAAATAAATTTATTTCTTGTAACTTTGCTCTGTTTAGATTATGTAGTTTTTGTTCAGTTATGAGAACAATCTTTAAAGGATGGTGGATTATTGGCTAGCTTAATGGATGGAATAGGAAAGTGGAAAATGTAAAACGTCAGGAAACATACATTCAGAGCTAGATAAGTTTGTTCACTGAGCCTAAACTGGCTAATCCATTAAACACAATCTCCTCAGAAAAAGCACGAAGATTCTACTAACTGATACATAGGGTTTCCTCATTCAAATAAATGTAGATATACCAACTAACCTAGAAGCTAGCTGAAATACAAAGAAATCCCAATTAGAATACCCCCGTTTCAAGATAAAATGCATGCACTTAAATGCGGTCCATCTGGTTGAAAGTTGGCACAAGATACTAAATTCTTCCCCAAAATAGAAAGCACAAACGAAGATTGGGGAGGAGTCTCACTTTATGATCTTGCTCTCAAATTGCTTAGCACTCCTCCACTTGCGAATACACTTGAGACAGTAGGTGTGGTTGCAGTTGGAGAGAATCCCGAAGCGGCGCTCGCTGGGGCTGGCTTTCTCATAGACCACCTCCATGCAGATCCCACACACCATGTCCTTGCTGCGCTGGACGGCGAAGGACAGCTCCATGTCCTTCTCGTGGGCCTCGATGCAAGACTAGAAGAGGTGGAGAGAGAAGAGCATAACCAAGTCAATGAATAATAATGAAAGGCTTTCGCTTACAGCCAATGATGCATGTTACCCCAGCCTGATATTAAAAGCAGCTGTGTTCACACGTGAATACAGGCACACTGACATTTGGCGAGTTTACTATAGAGTCAAACTATGAGGACTCAACTTCAGGAACTGAAAAATTACCTCATTTTCTCTACCCTGCAGCTCAACCCCTGTTACCTACACTAAACATAATTTTCCAAGTTTGGTGATTTTTCTGGTTTCTAGATGGAAAATGCAATTACGATTAAGGCCCTAATTTACAACCTGTTGAAAATAAGGGTGAAGGAAACTAACATTATTAGGTGACATTTATGTACCAGGCACATAATTTTCACATTAAAAAAACAGAAGAGCTTTACTGAGATATAATTCACATATCATAGAATCCATTTAAGTACACAACTGGGTTTGGGTATATGCACAGGTATGCAACCATCACCACAGTCAATATTTCTAGAGTATTTTCATCACCTAAGAGAGAAAGCCCAAACCCAGTCCCTCCTTCTTCCTAAACACCTCCATCTTAGGCAACCACTCACGTGTGGATGTGCATATTCGGGACATTTCATATAAATAAGGGGCCTTTTCTGACTGGCTCTGTTCACCTGGCACATTTTCAAGATTATCTGTATTGTAGAAGGTATTAGTATTTTGTTTCTTAGTAATATTCCATCATATGGAGAGACTATAATTTATTTATCCAATCATCAGATGATAGACATTTTAGCTATTTCCACTTTAGGACTATTTAAGAATGCTGTTACAAATATTCATGTATAAGTTTTTGTGAGGACATCACATACTTTTTATTTTAATTGAGGTGTAATTGACATAACATTATCATCATATTACATATAAATATATTAAATGTGCATCTTAGAAGAGTAAACTATTAGGAATGTGAATCTCAGAAAAGCTGTTATTAAAAAAAAAAAAGAAAAAAAGACCACAGTCTGAGGTTCTGAAAGCAATGATTTCTTGATAAACCATTCAAGAAGCCCAGGGAGGAAAACCATTCAATTTATCAAATGTTTCTCTGAAATAAACCAACAATGTTGTGAAAGGGAAGATACACCTATTAACACAGTAGCTCCCTGAAGACTTACTTTTATATGTTGTGACCTCTGGGCGGCATCCGTCGGGTGGAGGACCTGCAGCCCGCACATGTCACACGAGTCTCCGTGGAGGTACACACAGTTCTCCCCGTAGCGGCACTCTCCCACTGCAGCGTAGGGGCAGAGCTGCTGCTTTGTTTCCACTGCAGTTTGCTCCTTCTCGGACTCCTCCTTAATCACTGACCCCTGCAGGGGTGCTTCAGTGCAGGAAGGGGCAGCTGAAAATGTTTAAAAGGGCGGTAAAGGTCCAAAATGGATAAGACAGATAGATGAACTAAAAGATAACCTAGAACCTAACTGAACAGAAAAGTGAAAGGAACTTCAATTAAACTCCAAAACAGTCTATTGAATTAATTCCCTTACTCTTGAAAGAAAAGAATTTCTTCTAATGCCAGTATTTCCAAGATTAGGTTTCTGTATTTTTTTTTTAAGTTTTCTATGTATTTCTTGTGCAACTGTATTGATTAAAGAAGAGAGGCTTCAGTTTTTTTTTAAACACTCTAAATTCATTAACTACTGGGACTCTGTCACTCAATCTGTTAAGTCTTGGGTAATCCAATTTAGAGCATTAAGATAAGGCTAAATATGAAGAGTAGAAGCAGGAAGGTTGTAAAAAGTCAGCTAATTGAGGAAGTACTGTCTAGCCCCTATCTTGTTTTTATTCTTCAAAATACTCACTACGGCCACAGTAGGGTTGCCCAGGAACAAACTCAATGGCATTCACCCAATCTTCTGAACCTGCTCCTACAGTTGCAAAGTTTGAATTTCTTGACTCAGCTTCTCCCGTATTCATTTCAACAGTTGGTCCAATTACTGATGAGAGACTTGAAGAAGCAGCAAGGGATGATTTTGCAGTTAGATCTGTAGCAGTAGCTTCTTCCTGTTTCAATGGCTTACTGTGTTCGTATCTGAAAAAATTAAAAAGTCTGCAGTCACTGTCTAACCAGAAGCCTCTAGATGCAATGTATACATCTATTCCCTGATCCTGTCCTTTTCTTTTCAAAATACTATGCATATGAATCAACTAGGAAACTGTTAAAAGGCAGATGCCTAATTTCTAAGTCTGGAGTGGAGCCCATGGTTCTGCATGTCTAAGAAGCCCCTACATGATGCTAATACTGCTGGTCCAGAGACCATACTTTGAGAATCAAGGCCACAGGCCAGTAGTCAGAGAACTTTCAAGGGTCAAACACTAAATATTTTAGGCTTTGCAAGTCATACCACCAATGTTACAACCATTCAACTCTGCAATTATAGCTCAAAAGCAGCCTCAGGTCATCATTTAAACAACCACGTGTAGCTGTGGTCCAATAAAACCTTACTTAAAAAAAAAAAAGCCTTCAGCCAGGTTTGGCCTATGGTCCATAGTTTGCCCACTCCTGCTACAGATCTATTACCTTTCAGATTCCACGCTAATCAGGAGTTTCTGATAGTTCACAATCTATAGCTCCCATGGCAACTCTGCTAAGCAGACTGTATAGGCAAAACTGACTGATCAGAACAAGGAACAACAGAAATGTGGAACGTTGTATCAACACATAAAATGCTCCAAATTAAAAGGGCAAGACAATATTTACAAAATTTACAGTATGTATTGTCTTTTCCTATATCCACTCAATCACCTAATTACTTTTTTCCAAATTCTTACCTTACACATTTTCTCATTCCTTTTCATTTGTAAAATTATCATTAAACCATTAAGCTGTATCTCTAAACATAGAAAAAACTCTATTCCTTCAAGAAGCAACCTTCTGCCTGAGAAAATCCTCATAACTCTTTGAGCATTTTATGCTAAGATTCATTCAGACACAGTAAGTTAATAATCTAGGTAGTAAATCTAAACTGTGTCATATGTACTTAGCAGTTCTAGCAACTAATTAACTGGGCAAAACTAACCATCAGTCACATGTGTTACAAGTGTCTATTTTTATATCTAAAAAAGAAGTAAAACTACAGACTATCCCTTAGCTTATGGCAAACATTTGCTGCACTACCTTTATCATTATGTTATCTCAAACTTTCATATTCCTGCTCTAACCATTAGGGAACCTACTTTGTTTGCTGCCCACCAGGCAACACAACCCTTTCTCCAGAGGGTGCTCAGAAATGATGACCAGCAGTTCCAGTGGCATTAGGAGGTGGTGGCAAAGGATGCTAGATGTCCTGCAAGGTGCACAAGAACCTGAGCAATGAAGACCTGGCCTCACTAATTAAGATTTCACTAAGAAAGATTTCACAACCTACAATCATTTGAATATCCTGCTATGAAAATCCAAAGCATTTTATTCCAGACTGCAATCAAACAACCTGAAGCAGGGGAAGAAACTAGCATGAATAAGCTCTTTCACTTGGACTATCTCACTTCATCTTCAAGGTTTTTTTGGGTTTGTTTGTGTTTTTATCATTTTACAGAAGATGCAAATGATGTAACTGCCAAATAAGTGGTGGTCTAGGTCTAATGTGGCTCTAAAGTTATACGATATGGCAGCCATTGGCCATATTTAGTTATTTGTACCTAAATAAAATTTAAAACTCAGTGCATTGGTCTTTGCACTAGCCAGTGTTCAAAAGATGGGTAACTAGCAGTTACCTTATTAAACAGTGGGATAGAGCAGTTATATGCTCACATGAAGTTCCACTGGACAGCACTCCTCTGAAGTTTACTGTGAGTTGTAGAGAACCTCAGAAATCTAGCTCCAAATCCTCATTTTATAGATTAAGTAATTCACTGGTTTGAAAGGGAATTTGATAAATATTTAAATTATTTTTACATTCTTTAGGTTAGAAAAGAACCTGCGCTTTGGAATTAAGAGAGGCTTGAATTTAAAATGCCAGCTCCACCATCACAGAAAGCCTTTAAGGCTTTCTGAAAGTTTTAAAGGATTAAATAAAAATTAAATGTCAATTTGCATAAAGGGTGTATGAAATAGGTATGACACCTGTATTTCTCTCCTTTGCCATATGCATTTTAAGAAGTTTTCAGGGTAAATGACTAAAAAACAATAGTTAATACACAAGACTTGAATGCTCATCACCATCTAATTAAATTGCAAATACTACAAAGTTTTTCAAAGGAGTACATTTTGGTTTTAAGGTACATTTATCAAGGAATCAACAAGGTATAATACAATTTTTGAAAGCACAGAATTATCAGTTCTCTAGAATGTCTACATTTCTTCAAAAAATGAAGTTTTCTTGCTTTCAAGTATTCTACAGTTTTCTATGGTCATAGAAAAAGAATTGTTTCAAGTACAGACTAAATAACTGAAAGGAACATACTCTTAACAGGTTTTTGGATCAAGACCTAGTAATAAACTAGGAAATAAGTCTGGCAATAAAAATAATGCATCTACCACGCACTAAGAGCTGCACCACCTACTAAGGAGTCAAATACAAATAAAATAGTGTCCTTCCACACTGTATGAACCTATCTTAAAAATTAACTTTTTAATCAACTTCAGAGCTCCTTTAGAGAAGGAAAGCCTATCAAATAAAAACATAACTTTATTCTATGGAATTATATTGAAGGGAAAATAATATCAATTTAGAGAAAGACATTAAAGAACATTAAGGAAGTAAGACAGTTACTTCCTTAGTGCAGAGTAGAGCTTCACTTCACTGCTTCTGAAGTGAAGGCTTGTGAGTAAGCACCAAGAAAGACAAGTACAAATAAGATAAAACTAATAGAGTAAGAAGAAAAAGAAAAAGAAAAAGAAAAAGCAAAGCTCCCATTTTGAAATGTGCTTATGACAAATATGGTTCAGTGAAGCACGATCTCCTTAAGAGCAGGGATGGCCAACTAACTACAGCCTGCAGGCCAAATCCAGCTAGAGCTAACAAAGCTTCTGATATTTTTAAATGGTTGGAAAAAAGATCATTTTATGACACAAGAAAAGTACATGAAATTCAGATTTTAGGTCCCCAAATAAAGTTTCATTGGAGAATAACCACATCCACTAGCTTCTGTATCGTCTATGGCTGCTTCTGCACTACAGGTAGGGCCTATGCAGTCAAAAATACTTACTCTCTGGCTGGGTACAGAAAAAGTCTGCCAACTCCTGCTTAACCATCTACGACAGCAGCTTTGCTACAGTGATTAAATTAATTATTTAATGGATTATCACAGAATCCCTGATTCTTTTAGTCAGTTAAGTGATGAATGAATGCTAAGACAACACTGAAACCAATATTGAGCTTTTCTTTCACATCTTGCAAAGAATACTTTGATATAAAGTATTTTCCTATCCAAGAAAGTTTAATCAAGTTTTCTTCTACCTTTAATCAAGAGAAGACAGACACTTTTCCCTCTACTTGGCTTGCAACTCCCCACCCCAATCACTCCGACGTCTGACAGCTGCCTTTAAGAGTCCAACTTAAGGAATTTAGTAGGTCCACAGGGCAAAGCGCCTCCAAGGGAAGCAAGATCCACCACAACCAAGGCAACACCACCCTTTCTCCAGAGGGTGCTCAGAAATGATGGCCAGCAGTTCCAGTGGCATTAGGAGGTAGTGGAAAGGATGCTAGATGTCCTGCAAGGTGCACAAGAACCTGAGCAATGAAGAGCTGGCCTCACTAATTAACAGCACCACCAGTATGAAACCCTGATGCTCTAACACTTCTGAATTATTGGGACTAGGATATCTCCTTTCATTATGAACTGTTCCCTCAATGAAGAGTTAAATTATGTGAAATTATTAAAGCATCAAGTTGTACAAAAAGATCCCTACAGAGTAAGAGAGAAAAGTTGGTTTAAATCCCCAGGTATAATTTTAACAAGAAAATAAGCAGTCTTAAAACAAGCCCTTCCATAAGATACCTTCTTTAGCTAGTCTATAATCAAGCTTTTAATTATCACCTGTATCAGCCTGTTGCAAACAATCACCACTAAACTTTCCCTGTAGGAACACTCTCAGTACATAGGTTTTCCTACCTTCTTTGACTTTATACTAAGAACTCTAAAACCAGCTCAACTCAGGATCATTCCTCAAAGAGGAAGAGGAAGCTGTTATCTTTCCTATCAAGAAAACTGAAAAGAAAAGCAGTTCATGAAGAGATTGCATCTGCCTGAATACCAGAGCCTCACCAAAACAGGGCACCTACCTCACTCCCTGGCCTTCAACCTCCGTTTCCCACAAGGAGGCCCACTGAATACCACGTTATGCTGAAGATGGACTTGTATACTTACTCTCAAGGGGCACATGGAATGCCATTTGGGGCTGGCAAAGCTACCTGACAAAATAAGCTGATTAACACAGAGCCTAGGCCTTAGCTTAGATTTCTTAAATTTAACCTTATTTCCCATGCATTCTGCCTACATAATTTAATCAGATGAATACCTCTTCTGAAATAAGAGGTTCATCTGTTAACCAGCCACACTTTTCTTCATTTGGTCATACAGCATGCTCCCTGTCTCTCTCTGCTGAGCATTTTAGAGTCTCATCTCCGTTCTCAACATTTAATTGTTCTCTCCCTGGACAGAATTTATAAGGAGTCTCAACTAACTGACTAGTAAAGGAACTCAGCTTCCCTACAGTTAAGCTGGTCTAGAAACCCTGCAGAGACCATCCTACTACAAAGAACTGCTCATTCATAGTAGGACAGAGTTCTAACAACTTTTCCCCCTTTAATACTGTGACTACAAAAGACATATCTGGGTATTTTTGTTTCTTTGAGGAGAGTGTCATTGTGCCATTTTTTTCCCATCCAGCAACAGTGCAATAAAAAAAATAAGCAGGTAAGCACAAAGCTCAGGTATCGGGGGGCTCCATTTCCGAGCTCCTACAATCACATGAATATCTTGTTCTTTTCCTCTTTACCAGATTTCCTAGTATACTAGATGTTGAATGACCTAAGATTAATATTCCACCCATCAGTAATTTCTTATCTTTTGAAATCTAAGCATTTGAACCCAACAGCTGACATGATTCTTTTCTGGTAACAGGACACTAAAATTGGCTATGACATTGCCAAAATGCCTTACGTAGTGTGATGGTTTAAAGTATGTCCAAAATTCTTCAACATTCTATCCTTGAAAAGGTGGAGCCAATCTCTCCTTTTGAATGTGGGCTGGGCTTAGTGACTTGCTTGTAATGAACAGAATATAGTAGAAGTGACAGTGTGTACCTTCTGAGACTAGGTCATAAAAGATACTGTGGCTTCATCTTTGCTGTCTCTCTCAAACTGCTTGCTCCAGGGAAAGCTAGCTGCCAGGTGTGAGGACACTAGAGCAGCCCTAGGGAAAAGTCTATATGGTGAGGAAATAAGGTCTCCCATCAACAGCTATGTGAGTTAGCCATCTTAAAAATGATTGTCCACCCCTGTCAAGACCTCAGAGGGTGGCAGCCCTGGCCAAAATCCTGATTGCCATCCCCTGACAGTCTCTGAGCTAGAACCACCCAGATAAGCCACACCTAAATTCCAGATCCCCAGGAACTATGAGATAATAAATGTTTTTAAGCTGCTAAAGTTCAGAGTAACTTGTTCAACATCAGTAGAAAATATGCCTAGATGTTTTCAGAATTGGGAAGATAAAGAAAAGCTCTATTCAATTTCTAAGCACAACTTACTATTGCTGAACTGCAATTTAACAGGATTATGGCAGTAATTCAATGAATAAGGATAGATTACTTCATAAATAATCCCTCTAGGTTCTCTAACATTCTGAGATGGACACTGGAGACATTTCTCAAGCATTTTCCTTAAATCTGAGCTTATAATTAATCTTGTAAGTTCAGGGGTGGGGGTTTAGGAAAGTTTAGTTGGATTCACAAGGCCTCTTAACTAGTAAGCTAATACACTATTTCAAATGACTATAATCCTAGTTTCTCTCCATAATTTGTATTAACAGAGAACAACTGAAACTTGTTTCAAAAGTCCTGTTTGGTCAAATATGCACCTCATTCTTGGTCTTGAAAAGAAAATGCCCACCAAGAAGGGACTAGTGGTTACCAAAGGGGATGGGCTGGAGAGGGTTGGGGGAGAGGGGGAAGGGGATTAAGAGGCACAATAATTCACAAGCACAATATAGGCTGGTCTTGGGGATGGTGGTACAGCACGGAGAATACAGTTAATGGTTTTGTAGCATCTTACTACACTGATGGACAGTGACTGCACTGGAGGGGGTAAGGACTTGATAATGTGGGTAAATGTTGAACCACTGTGTTGTGTATTTGAAACCAACATAAGATTGTATATCAGTGATACTTTAATAAAAACAAACAAACAATAAAAAAGAAAAGAAAAGGAAATACCATATACAAACACATGTTCACCCTAGTCCTAGGTTTGCAGAAGTTGCTCCTCAGGCATTATTTAAATTCAGGGCTGTATTACAAACTGATTTTTTTTTAATGTAGCAATACATTCCAAGTGAGAAATGTCTGTCAGTGTACTATCATTCCTAAGAAGTACGTTTCAAAGAATTATTTTAAATCTATTACTTGAAGGCTATTGGAATTATGCATTTTATTCTAATTTTTTTTATCCTAACCCACCCCCAAACAAAACTGATTTGTAAACAAATTCTTACCTGCAGCGGTCTCCGTAAATACAATACCCTCGCTGGAAATACTTGCACACTACACCATATGGACTGTCAGAGAGGTCGTGCGAGTAGCGACAGTTCTCTCCTTCCTTACAAACCCCATGCATGAAATACCTGCGAGTCAAACAACAACAAAGTTGGGTTAAAAAAGACTAAAGCCAGTACTCAAAAAATTCAGGGCCAATATATTCCACCAGTAATATACTAGTGCTGTATACCAGTTACACATTCTATTATTATATTCTACACATACATGTGAAATGAACACAAAGTAGGAACTAACTGTATGACCATAAAATTATCCTTTAGAGCACCACAGGAGGGCTGCTTATAGATACATGTATCAATTTAAGTTTAAACTTTGAGGTCACATTAATCTTGTCTCTGCAGGTTAAGTCTGACCACTGTTCTCGTTTTACAGTCACAGGGAGGTAGCTTCTCATTTTCCACTAACTTTAGCCATAATGGCAGCTCTATCTGTAAAAAAAATCAAAGATAAAGAAGCAAGAAACAACTCAGACCAGAAAGGGTCAGACTACTATGTATGTTTTAGTTCTTCAGGAAACCATTTTAATTCTTTTAAAGCCACATGTAAATATACAAGTAAAGACTGTGGCACAAGTAGAGGAACAGGGAAATCACTTATGTTCTTCACTCAGCGGTTACTCCTCTACCTTAAAGGATTACATGTATACCTAACTAGCAGTTTCTAATGCCAAGTATCAGAGTCTGACTCAGTCCAACTCAGTTTCTAAGCGGACCTACCCCAGCAGCACCACTTGGGAATTTGCTAGAAATGCAAACTGAGACCCTAGATCCACTAAATCAGAAGTGGGAGTGGAGTAGCTATCTGTATTTCTCTAAAGAACTGGATTAGGAAGTGACAGGTCGGTTTTATGTTGTGTAAATAACCCTAATCCTATAAAGTGAGTACAACCACCACCACCACCATCATCCCATCACTGGCTTTTGTCAGGGTTCACTGTCTTATGCTTTGGTCCTTTACTGGTCTCTGTCTCTTGAGCAGGGTTATGAAGATTTAATTTTGCCAGGCCACAACTCCCCAAAGATGCATCTACATACAGCTGGTACCAGGTAGGAAAAAGTACCTATTTCCTGGGTGTGTTAATTGGCCTTGAAGAGGACATCAGTGTATCCAAGAATGTTAATTACCTAGAGATGGTAGGTAAAATAGCAGTAAGCTCACTCCACTTGCCCTCTGATTTGAATGATATAGAGAAAACAGATTCCTATTGACCCAAGGAGACTTGAAGGCCGCCTCCAATTGAAATGTGAAAGGTCCTATTCAAAGATTAGGGCCTAGTGAACCTTCTATGTGACAAAAGATAATATGGAATGAAAGAATGTTAACTCTTCGTCAAACAGTTCTGATCATCAAGATCCTGAGGAGCCCTAGGGTTGTAGTCCATAAGAAAACATAAAAATGTAACAGGAAGTCAAATTATTATGATAATTAACCTAATTTCAACTCCCATTAGATTTAACTTAACCTAACTCAGATTTGAACTTCTGCTCAATTACAGGACAACGTTCTGCAAGCTTTGAAGCTGTACCCCAAATCTGAGTTAAACCACTTTTATCAGTAGCTAATTTTTGACTGCATAAATGAAGAGATTAACACTGAAAACAAAACCAACTAAAGAAGCCAGGGATAATTACATTGTAATCAACCACTAAGGCATAATTATGCTTCAAAATATCTATCTAAAGGTATCCACAGTTGTTCATTTGAAAGTGTCACTGTTTTAATACAGTTGTTTACTATTAGCCAGGCCCAGTGGGAACTTTCACTCTCACACTGTAAACATATGACAAAGGTATCTATACTGTCAATTTTTCTTTGGGGTCAGTTTGAGGTCAGAGATGTACATACTGTTACAATTTTTCAGACTTGATAAACTATCCACTTAGAGATCACAGCTGGGAAGGTAATTTCTAAATCTCTTAGAATTTTAGGTTTGTTCTTGAATCCCATTTTGCCATGCCCTCATTCATTTAACCCTTCACTTAGATTTACGATGCTCTTCATTATGTCAAATGATGTCTTCCACAAAACACTACCTGACAGCTGCTGACCTTAACCTGTTAAGTAACTTAACAAAGTCAAGTAAAGTAATAAAAAGCACACAGGCTCAGCATTAGGAAAACTGTTTAAATCCCAGCTTTGTCACTTATTGGCTGTGTGGCCCTCAGTAAGCTCTTTCACCCACCCTTTTAGATTTAAGAACTTAAAAAAAAAGTAACTGCAGTGTCATTACTACTGTGCACATTCATTCTCACATCTCTGCTCTGCCCCATCAGCCCATACCCTGGCCACATTTATTTCTGACCGTGCATTAAGAGGTACACATGAACCAATTAGTTAGGAAAGAGTAAGGCAACCAAGACCTAGATGTCATGCCACGAGATTTTAAGTAGCTAGAGTAGTTTAGGTGGGAGGAGACAAAAGGATAACTTTTTCTTTCCAGCACCATTCCTGACAAAGTGAACATAGGCAAGAAGTTACATCATGAGTCTGGCTCAACATTAAGGTCTGAGAAATAGAACTATCCAGCAATGAAAAGTTCCTGAAGTCCAGAACTAGCTTCACTGAAGGACTTCAAGACACAAAATCACCTGATCCTGCAGAATCAACAGAAACAATGGAAAACAAGCCCTAATTTGTTACTGCCAAATACTAAGCATTACTTTATGTGGCAGTTTGGTAGGTATGGTCTGGGTTTTCGGTTGTTTTACTTGCCTTCTGTCTTTCAGTGATACTAACATTATACCCAGAATTATAAATAATCCCCACAGTGAGATCCCTTCTTACCAAGAGATTATGACATGATAGTGTAGTAACAGAAAGAGGAAAAGAGGCAACACATTCCCAAGAATTTCTCCCCAAAACAAAACCAAGCAAAATAAGCACTGTTGTTTTGTTTTTAAATGCCACCACCAAAAATCCACCATCCAAGTTCACCTTGATGTCACTGCCCGGGCTGAGGGTGCCTTTGGTGAAAGGCTGGGCCATAGGACTTCCAGGATTCCTTCCACCTTGCAGATTCTAAGACTCTAAGCAGACATTGTCCAGTAATAAAGACAAATAAAATTGACTAGAATGGTCCTACAGCTGTACCTCTTAGAAATCTAAGCATGGTCACCAAATCCATCACAAGAAACCCCAATAAGAACCTGTAATGGTACAACAGAACGAAGAAATACCCTCCCTACACCTCTAGGCATCCTAACAACCTGACGGGATTTATAGAAATTACAGAATATGAATTAATTTGGCATTTAATCATTTAATCTGCTATGACATTTCTTATCCTGACATTTACTTTTTGATGCATGCATGTACCCTGTTATTCAAACTAGACTGTAAAATCCTGGTGGTTAAGGACCATGATCTATTCTGCTTCTTACCTCTTATTGTACCTACACATTTAATACATATTTGTTTAATAAAAACTAAAAAGACAGCTAGGTGTCATGATGAAGCACAGTGCCAGTAGCAAATTAATTTTTCTTTCTCTGGGCTGCATTAACTTTTTCAATGTCACCCTTTCAAAAAAAACACTACATAGTTTGCAAATAATACATAGATACAGACACTGTGGACATCACAGGATTTTGGATAAAGGCTTTGTGGGAGAATTTAATTCATTTGAAGCTATATAACTACACTTAAAAAAAAAGGTTTTCAAAAATCAAAATGAAAAAGCACTTGGTTTATGTGTACTACTTGAGCCACCAGAACACTCACCTACCACCGTAGAAGTACTCCAATAAAGCGGTGTCTACATTCGAAATTACAATTTACAAGTTTCAACTTTTCTTTAAGTATTGTAGCCCCACACACTTAAGAAAAACTAGAAGCAATAACATTTCTATTTCGTATTATTTCTCTTAACAAAAGATATGAAAAACGGCCTGGTGGTGGCAGCACAATACGGTTGCTTGGGAAAGGTACCAGTCAGCTTTCCTTATGCTGCAGAGAAAAAACAGAATGTAACAGAATTTCAAGAGATACTAAGAAAGCAGTAACCAACAAGAAAATACAGATGATTCTGAACAATTAAAGACAAGGGCCCACCGTCCAAACAACCTTTAGGAGGATTATATGATCAGTGAAGAAAATAGCCTCAGGCAAATTCCAAAATTGGGGAAACAGGTATTCTTAATACATCACTATTTTGAATTCTCTTTGAAGGAGATTTAGCTATCAAACACAATGAAAACATTTACAACACTGGGCATTTCTACATTCCCTTTAATATCTAGCAGTATGATCTCCCACTGTAGGAACTAATGCTTATTCACTGAGTAACTGAATGAGGTTGTGCCAGAAAAATACACACGTTCTGTTAAATCCATTGTCTTTGCTAATCTACAAGCATTTTTTTTTAAATGAAAGCAGAGGAATCTTACAAGCACATACTGAAGTGGGTAATTTTGGGTGTAGGTTTATCAATATCAATTCAAGCACTGACTGAGTAAACTAGGCACTGAGTTAAGCCCTACAGATACCACCATAAAACAGGGCCCCTGCACTAAAGAGTTCAAAGTCTATATTGGATATTCCCCTATTCGAAGGAGAAACTTTTAAAAATAGGACATCATGTTGGTACCTGTAACAACTGAAAACGATGTCAAATATTAAAACCTAGGACACATCAACTAACCTGTACTTTTTTTTTAGGTAACTTTCTCAAGCAAAAGCTATGACAGATTCATATGAAAAACAAAAACTAGCAGATCTAAGCCTGTACCTTCTAAATAATGCTTTTCAAGATATCAGATTAACCTATTGGTTCATGGGCAAAGAGTTCTCCACTGGTCCAGGAATGTTCTAGGCTATTTAATTAACTCAAAGATCCTAAAGGCCGGCAAAGAGGATGACCGATCTGGGAAGCTCTGTTGTGAACTCGATAACCAGTGAAGAACTATTAAAGAGGAAATAAACCAGGGAAAAGTGCCTAGCAGAGGGGCAAGTGTAGACGTGATCACGAAACTTGTGCAGAGATGTAAAGTTGGGCTCAAGTTACAGACACAACAGGATAATAATGAGATAACTATAGCAATGTCGGGGTGGTGGAGGGGGATTCAAGGTCAGATGATACGGAGGTGGGAGATGATGGGTACAATCAAGACACTGTATGGAGTTCTTAAAGAATTTACATATTCAAGGAAGATTATTTTCAGTGTATAGAGGTAGATTTGATGCTGCAGGGTGAATGGCTAAAAGTTAAGGAATATCAAGGTTACTCGAATTATTTTGAAAAGATTCAAGTAGCAAGTAAAAATCAACTGCAGCATTGCAAAGAAAAGAGAAGCAGAGACTCAAATAATTGGCTCCACAACAGATCTTTTAAAATTCCCATTCTTTGTAATATTGCAATTCATTCCATTCTTAGGATCTCCAGGTAACTGGTTAAGAGAAGCTACCTAAATTGCTTTTATGCTTTCTCCATCTCGTTATTGAAAATTAATTTAATTCAGCAGCTTATCATTCATGCCTTAAATGTATCATACTAAACACCGGGAACGCTTCAATCTCGCTGTTAACACTAGGACAGTGAGTTCTGTGTATTAAGAAATTTTCTTTTTACGTTTCTGCACATAAATCATCCCAACTAGGTGAAAACCCGCGTTTCAGATGGATTTTTTCAACCGATAAAAAACAAAAGCTTCTAGTCGCTACCCATCACTTTTCAAAAATCCAAGTGTAACATCCCATTAAATGCCCTAATCTTTTATGTGCAGGCGGATCATTTTTTACATGCGTATACACGTCCCTATAATTGCCATTCGCTAATTCCTTAATTTTCCAAATATTTTCATCTCACATACCAAACCAAACCAAACAAAACCTCTCTCCTTGAGGAGCGACCAGCTCTTTGACCCCCTCCGGCAGTTAGATGCATGGGTTTCAAAAGGGAAACGTTTCTCCGGGGGAGGGGAATGGCAGCTCGTAAAATTTAAGGCGGAGGAGACAACCCCGGCCTTTCGTTCTAAGACAAAGCTCAGAAACGTCAACCCCGATAAACATACAAAGAAGAAATAACAAAAGCTACTTCTCCGCGCAGGGCGGGGGGCGGAGACGCGAGGAGACGTTACAAACGAATGACACCACTGCCGGGCCTGGCCACCGGGCGCCCTGGCTCCCCGGCCGGCAGGACCGCAGGGAGACCGGCTCCAGGCGACAGCACCCGCCCTTCCCGGGCCTGCGGAGCTGGAGGCAGGGGACGGCGGACGGGGAACGGGGGACGCGGGAGGCCGCGACAGTGAGGAGGGAGGAGTCATCCCCCTCTCCCCGCGCGCGCCCCTCGGCCGGGCGGCTCCGCAGCAGAGCTGCGCGCGCCCGGGCCTCGGCAGCCGGCGGCGACTGACGCAGCGCGGGCGGGGAGGCTGCGGCGGCTGCCGGGACGGCAACGGCGGCGAAGCGCCGGGAACCCCCCACCGCGCGGCCACCCGCGCCCCCCTCCGCGCCCTGCGCCCCCTCCGCGCCCAGCGCTCGGCCGCGCAGCGTCTCACCGGCAGGTGACCTGCTTAGTCCAGCCGCCGCCGCCGCCGCCGTCGCTGCCGGCTCCCCCTCCGCCCGCCACCGGGGACGGGGAGGTGACTGTGGGGATAGGGGTGGGGGAGGCCGCTGCCACCGCCGCCGCTGCCGCTCCTGCTGTTGTGGCTGTTGTTCCGGGAGCTGCAGCCTCCGCCATTACTGTTTATCCCACACAGCAATGGCACCGGAACTTCCGGGATCACATAGTTCCGGCCCGGCCGCGGGGAGGAGAAGGTGGCGAGGCGAGGGAGGGGAAGGACACCCGAGGCTCTCGTTCGCTCCCCTCCGCGCCGCGTCGCATCTCCGAACCCTCTCGCGGCTCCAACTGCCGGCCGGAGCCCGAGCGCCCGCGGCCCGCCCCTGGCGCTCTCTGATTGGTGGCGGGGACGGCCGAGGAGGGGCGGGGCGGCGACGGCCGGGGAGGGGCGGGGCGGGGACAGCTCCGCCGAGGGAGCCCCCCCCCCTGCTGCGCCCAGGCTCCGCCTCTGGGAAGGCAAAGTCCGCAATTCTGGGTTGCGGTACTTCTGGCAGAAGCTTGGGGAAGGGGTGCAGATTTGGGTCCTGGGTTTGAATTTAGACTTTCCCATTGACTGGCTCTACCAATTACTATCTGTATGACCTTGAGCTAGATACCCATTCTCTCTGAACCTCAGTTTCTTCGTCTCTCAAATGGGAATAAGAGTAGGCCCTAATTCATTAAACCGCTGTGAGGATTATATGATATCACTGAGCCTAGCGCCTGGTACATAGTAAAAAATGTTCTCTCTTGTTCCTCTAGTCAGAGGTGTGATCTCTAAGCCCAAGAGAATAAGCATGGTGGCTATGCAAAGGCTCTGGAACCTCTTTGTCTCCGGTACCTCCTGGCTTCTTCCATTCGTAACTAAGTGTCTTTGAGCTTTTAGTATTCCTTTTTCCCCTCTATAAAACAATAATGATGACAACAATAATAATTAAAAATAATAATAGTAGTACCTCCCCCAGAGTTGATTGTGAAAATTAAATGAGAATCCATGGAAAACCCTTAGCACTGTGCTTTCACACTACAGTCAATCCTTAAGAGAGAACAAAATGTGTCCGGAATATCCCAGTTTCTAAGAGTTATTTGTAAAACTGAAAATTAACATGTATATGATGCTATTTCTCTACTGATACCCACTGTCCTCTCGGATGCTGCATGTTAAGTTTCTGAGCTTCCATAGGCAGCTTTCTATATACCCTTAATTTGCTTTTTTATAGTCTCTACTTTGAGAAAGTGAAATTCCACCCCACTGATAATCAGACCACAATGTACCTAACCGAAACAAACAAGGAGAGCGCCAAAGCCAACAGAAAACAATGTTTCTCCCAAGGCCATGCCATGGCTGCACTAAAACTAACAATCCTCTTCTTTTGAATAATTACAGCTTTCACTCATGTCTTCCCAGTCCCATTCCATGTCTGTCTCCTGCCTCACAGAAATTTCTGAGACACCCAGATCCTAAACTGCCCTACCTCATGACAGCACTTAATCTGGGGCTGGTCTCCCCTTCTGCTTGTGCCTCCCCAGAATCACCCTGCCAGCTTCCTCCCTGGGAGAGGACCATCCCTCTCTACTGCCCTTCCCAAAATGCCTCCCATTCCTTGGCTGCAGTGGTCTCTCCTGCTGCAGTAAGTTAATGGGATTAACTTTGTTGGCCTACAGATGTATTCCTGGTAGTTTTTATCTGTTAGGTTTTATCAGTCAAGCAATAAATTGTTTTCCAAAAATGAGAGGTGGGGAAGTAAATGAACTTTTTTTATGTTAAGAAAAAGGGGCACTTCAACTTAAAGCACTTCTTCTATTTTAGGAAAATGCTCCTGTAAATTATGGATTCTTTTCTCTCCCTCACCTGGAAGCACTGGTGCCCAGCTCAGAGCCCTTGGTGCAGTCATTTGAGGTCATTAAAGAACTGTATCTCAGTGATACACACAGAAAGGCACTGGGCCTCAACTTCAGAAATAATACATACCTGGTCCTAAGATGGAAGGAGGATGGGGCCCAGGGCTACCCACATGTGCCCAAACCAAGCTGCGTTCTGAATTTTAGATCTTTCAGCTAGACCCTGATGCCAGAGTGATCATGTCACTTTCTGCTCAAAGTCCTCCAAGTAGGGTTAAGTCCTTGCTAGGCCCTAGGTGATGAGGCTTCTCTACTGTCTGAGACTTCAACTCTCCTCTGCCCCTTTCTCACCTGTTTCCAAGAACACTGGCCTCATGCTGACCCTACATACTAGTTACCCTCTTTGCATTCGTGGTCCCTCTTTCTGCTGGGAACCTCATCACTGGCGAGCTTCCCCAGTTTTTGCCAAATCTCAACAAGAAATTCTCAAATTTCGGTTTCTCTTCTGATTGCCCTTTAAAATATTGCAACCTGTTTCCTCACCCCTCACCCCCTGTATCCTTAATCTCCTTATGCTGCTGTTTTTCTTTATTACATAGTATTTGCCTTCTAACTTACTATAGAAGTGCTTGGGCTTCTGGCCTCCAGAACTGAGACAATAAATTTCGGTTGCCCAGTCTGCAGTACTCTGTTATGGCAGCCCTAGCCAAGTAATATGCCCCTTACTCTCCCCTCTAGCTCCACATCTCAACAAACCTCCCTTTGCTCAGTTTCTAGAACTCCCTCTAGAGCCTTGCCTTCTCCCCCCAATGGTTATCTCAAACCATTCCCAATCTTCTCCCCTTGCCAAACACGTACTGGCTTTCTGGCATCCTGGGCAGCAGGAAATGGCTGTATGATCAGCTTGGCCAATGAGCTGTAAGAGAAAATTGCAGGGCAGCTTCTGCAAAAGATATCCTGGGTAAGAGACAGGATCCCCTGGGCCCTCCCGGCTCCCCGCCTTTGAAAACCATCCTGACGTCTGGAGCTGGGTTGATAGGCAGGCGAACAAGCCTGAGAACAAGAAGCAACACACAGAAGATGGTGGAGCGGAGAACAGAATGAGCCGGGCCCCTTAACGGTGGCGTGGAGCAGCAGGACCGGTGTTGGCAGCCACCGCCTCCACACTTCTTGAGGGAAAAAAATAACTCAATTTGGTTAAGCCACTAGCCATCAGATTATCTGTTTCTTGGAGCCAAAAACATTTCTAACCAATATACGACTCAAGGCTTAGCACATGTAGCTTCCTGTTTCTGAACTGCTGCTCCTCCTCTCCTTAGATCTCAGCTCAAATGCTACTTTCCAGGGAGATGTTCTCTAGGCTCCTGACCAGGTCCAATGCCCTGTGACCCACTCTCACACTCCAGTTCCTTGTCTTTCATAATGTCTGTCATGATGACAACGTGACCTTTGTGTATGATTATTTGAATGTCTGTCTTCTCGTAAACCCTTGAGATCAGGAACCATATCTGTATTTGTTCATTGTTGCACCTCTAGAGGTGAAGCTAGAGGGGTGAGTAGGGACCTGTACTGAGTGTCTCTCACACTCAACATGCATAGAATGAATGAATGACAAGAAGGCCCAGCCCCGAAGCATGCATTCATTCCAACTAGAACAGAGTCTGGCACATCACTGCAATTCAGTAATTATGTGACAGTGAGTAAATGAATGAATGGATGGGGGATACAAAGATAAGAAGAAACAGCACCTGTCCCTGGGAACTTCCAACCTAAGAGGGGAAGGTGAGCCCAAATGCACAGTAGAGAGGCATCTGCCAGGTGCTGCTAGAACTCAGAGAAGTAGCCTGTAAGCCTGACTGGGTGGAAGTGGGGGCAGCAGGGAAGGTGCAATATGAGCTGAGCATTAAGGGAGCTGAGCTCACCCTGTGCCCTTGCCACAGACTGCAGAAGCTCAGGCGTGGAGTGTAGGAGGGAAGCTGGAAGCAGTTCTGCCTTCACTGTTGGAACAACAAGTCCTAGGCAGGAAGGGGCATGTTGCAGCCAGCTGGAGGTGGGGTGGGGTCAGGGAGGAGTTGGACTTGGTCCTGCAGACCGTGGGGAGCCCCTGGAAGGTTTGGGACAGGACACTGACGCAGTTGGTCAGATCGCACTCCAGCAGTGGAGGCAAGGTCGCGTGGGGTCCGGAAGCTGCCAGCTCTGCCGTTGTTATCTATCTTTCTACCTGGGATGTTTCCAAGCCCACACAAGGTCTCTACACACAAGCTGTTCTTGAAAACAAATCAACCCTGTTAACTGAATCAAGTAAACAGGTCCTTACAATTCATCAGGGACGTTGGCATCTGCCCTGCCGTCTCTCTACCCCAAGCCAGATCATAGTGCCGTGTGCTTTGAAATCCATGGACCACCCTGACCTCCAGCGTTACACACCCTCATCCTCAGTGGCCTATTCCTTTTGCTTTATTTTTATCCCAGGTACCCTCTCTAGAGTTTACACCCAAGCCTTTTCTGCCCCCATAATTGCTCTGCTTCCATCCAACGCTTTTCCTGTCGGTTCTCTGCGTTTCTTCTTTGGAACTCAATCTAGTAGGAGATTCAGGGACAACCATCTCATGAGCCCAGGAACCCCCAAGAAGATGCAATTTGTCATAAAATATTCTCTCTTGGTCACCAGACTCAGCTAAATTGATGAAAGGCTGTAGGATTTAACTCGAAAGCTGGCTGATTCTGCTTGATTATAATCTGGTAGTGGGATTCTGGTTCCAGCACTACATTGGAAATGTTAAAATGTATGGGGTGGCCCAAACGTCCATCTACAGATGAATAAATAAACAAAATGTGGCATATACATACAATGAATGAATATTCCTTTGAAATAGAATGAAATTCTGACACATGCTCCACCATGGATGAACCTTGAGGACTTTATGCTCGGTGAAATGCACCAGCCACAAAAGGACAAATGCTGCATAATTGCACTTACATGAGGGGCCTAGACTAGTTAGATCTATAGAGACAGAAAGTAGAATAAAGGTTGTCAGTGGCCAGGGGGAGGCGAGAACGGGGAGTTCTTTAATGGGCGCAAACTTTCAGTTGTAGATGGCGGAAAGTTCTGGAGTGGGAAGGTGGTGATGGTTGCACAACAAGGTAGATATACAAAACACTAAGGTGCTGTACACTTAGAAATCACTAAAATGGTAAATTTTATATGTAACAACACAAGTAAAATAAAAAAATGCATGGATTTAGGAGAGTTTGGAATAGATTAGGCCTACACGATTGACTGCCTGTTCTGTGTGAAGCGCTGCGTGAGCCAGAGCTTCACCAGGAGCCTGCCCTGCTCATTAGGAAGGCAGACACCACCAGGAGAGGAGACCCAGCACCCGGTAGTTACCAAGTAAGGAGGCGGACGAGCTATAAATAGCTGGTAAGACTAATTGAGGAATGCTCTGACTTTAAGATCAGCCCAGCTG